ATCTATACAATTCCATCCAAGAAAGTGATATTAGCATGTTACGGAGCACGTATAACTTATTCTTTGAAATATGATATTTTTCTTACAATGTGTTGTGAAATTTAAGAAGCCCTGACGAATATAATGCAACATCAAAAATACCATTCAGATGATATAACTTTTAGCTGTATCTTGGCTTAAATTAAAAAGAAGATAATTAAACTCGCTATCAAAATTCGCGGGATAGATATAATATTTTTAATTAAAAAACAAACTACACAACCCTTACTCTTACGAAAGAAATGCAAAGTAGTTTTACGCGATATAAAAAGCGATACAAGATATCTCAGAACCCATCAATAAAAAGCGCAATTCGATCGCTATCTATCAATATCACAACGCTCGTTTGCTAATAGAACTCAAACACGAGATTAAGATTCCCACGATACTAACGCGTGATTCACACTCGCATGTATAGATATAACCTCGATATAAACGCGGGACGCCGGTCATCTCCCGCATTTGTGTCAATCAATCGAATCGCATCAGCCAGCTAACCAGCCAACGATGCCGCCCGTCGTGGTATTTCGATTATGCAATGGCGCGCCGCTGCGGGGCCAAATTGGTCAGTAAATTTCAAGATGAGCCTGTCCTTTCGTAATAATGATAAATACCCGGCTGTCCTTTTTCTTCTCCCACCTGCACCCGTGTTTTTCTCCCCGCGACAGGACGGGACCGATCTTGCCGAGGTCAACCGCATCGGCTCTCGTTTGCGTAATACAATTATAACGTAGCGGGGACGCGAACTTCTACCTTTCGGCAACGGTATTCGTCTTGCGACGAATTCTCTTTAATTATGGACGTCACACTCTCTACATCCTATTCTACATCCTAGTTCATAAAATACAAACTTGCCATCGTGTCCTTACTTACTGTCGTCTAGATCATTAATTAGGAGAATATTTTGAATAATTTGAGATACAGGAACAGAATCAGCACAGCGAGAGAGAGAGTAATTAATAAATTCAGATATGCTTGAAAAATAACAACACCATCTTTTAAGTAATGCAAATCTTATCATGTCGATATGATTGATGATATTTCAAGTTCAACATAAATTTAGACTGCATATCCGTAAATAAATTAATTCAATTTCGATTGAATTCTAATTTAATTAAAATTTTTATAGAGATATTATGGTTTCTTATATATTGTAGCTTTTAATTTAAATCTCTTTTATCTCATATCAAACTCGGAATTTTTGCTGCAACACTATCGAAGGATCCAGCAATAATAATTGCTTATATACTGCTTAATACAAAGGGGAAAGTGACACTTTTTATGACGTGTATGCGGCGAACGAACATGTTACTGCAGCTTCTTACTATGTAACACGCGATCAATTGAATGTATCGTGAAATGTCGTAGGGTTGAAAAGCAAAGACTTGAGTTTTCCATTCACATATACTCGGTTCGAAAAGAACCTCTGTCATGTTAAACAGCGAAAACGCCGTATACAACATGATCGAGACTTTTGTCGGCCGTTGACAATTGCTCTTTAGTCTTTCTTATGTCAAAGTCATTATTCTTCGGCGATAGAGACGTGACTTCGTCGATAGAAAGTAATACTAGTCGCAGACAAAACGGCGCCAGCGATTTTTGCTATAGAGGTTTCTCTTTTTTAGAGATAACTATTGTAATATATCGGCTGGTCCAAGATATTATCTTATTCCTTGCCGCATTAACTGAATGATAAGAACTTGAAACTTGAAATGCGAGAACTCTAAAAGCTTCTATTATTGTTAACAGATTATGAGGTGTGTTGATAATTAAAAAGAAAGCATCACAGTTTGACAAAATATTATTTGTTAATTAATAAAATCTTTTGCGAATTTGTGGAGCTAGATTAAATTGTATAAATGTGAATTATATTTTATACAAACCTCACAATTTTCCTAAATTCAAAAAGTATATAATAATTTCAAGAAATATAGTAATTTACACATATACTATAAACTATATATTTTATAATATTACATAAAGTTTAAATAAATTTTTTACTTTGCTATAACATATTATTTAATAGAATGACTTTTACTCTCGGAATATAATGACATAATCGATCAAGCATTTATCATTGTTGGCCGAGATAACTGGAAAGTGCAAAGATCTTAGCCGCGTACTTTATTAGTGAAGGAAGATGTAATCCATGCTGATGCCCTCGCGCGCGCAGGTATTATGCAAGAAACTATATTTACACCTTATACGGTTGACCCGGTCGCACGCTTACCCATTAAAACCCGCGCGCGCCCCATGCCAATTAAGACTCTTTCGCTAAGAACATCTACCGCGTGAAGCCGAACCAGACAAATTGCTTTCTCTATGGTTAACGTCCATCGAGTATGGCGTGGTTCGGACGCGTCTGATGTGAATGTCGCGAATTATGGCATCTGTTTTTTTTTCTGTCAAGGATGCGTTGCGTGGAGAATCGCGTATTACAAAATGCTTCCCGAACCACACATTGCTCCATATGTTCATTATGTCACATTGCAAAATAAAAATATATATTTATATAGATATACTCGTATATCGCATTATATGCATTTATATACAGTCTATAATCTGCTTCTGCTAAAATATATAATATAATAAAAATATTACGTAACAATAAATAAATTTTTATTTAAAATAAAAAAGAACAAAGTTAAATTTAAATCACATTTATATCCATGCTTTAACTTGGGTTTTTTACCTGATTTTTGTAAGATATTATAATAATTGTAAAAGATAATCTGTTAATTATCTCCAAATATTTTATTATGCACTATACACACACACACACACACACACATATATATATTTGCTGCATTACCTACTTTCATAACTTATGTCATGATAGACGAATACTAATGATACAACTTCGTAAACCATCTGTTAAAAATGGCCATGTGTGTGTAATTACGAGATCGTTAACTTTGTTTAATCCTTCTTAACACTCTACACTTTTTACAATTAATATTCAATTAATGAGTAATGCGGTTATTAATAAGAAATACTAATACGAATCCGCTGTTACAAAACATGTAATGTAATGACTAACTAAATATTCAAGCTATCAAAATCACCCTAGAGCTATCATTTCTCGTGTGTGAACATCATTCGTGATATTAAATCTCGGTAATATTCGTTGTTTCTCTTTAGCTATTGACAACTTTTTGTGAGAGATCCTTGACATTTATTTTTAATAGGAAAGATTATATAAATTTGAATAAATTCGACATAAATATTCAAGAATTCCAGGATTCACTTGTCTCTAATAATTATAGATGCAATTCTCCCTGGCGAGATTTAAATGCATCATAAAAATATAATAAGTTTTTTATTATGTTCAAATAATTGACATTTTTTAATACAAATTCTAGAATCATATAAAAAGTTTCTAATTATACTTTAACATTTTTAATTATAATAATAAAATTTGCTTTCACTAAAACGGCTTTTGCAACATTTTTCAGGGAACTCCTTTACCTATATATGCATGCAATTTTCTTGAGAAGGTCTGTACAAAAGAAATTTTATACCTTCGGCGATTATCTCGCGATTTGATTGAATCTTTGTCGGCTCTCTTCCGCCTGTCCATTAGCGACAATCGTGTGATTAGAAATTTCAACGCTCGATTGCGTTACGCAAGAGGCATTTTGCACCTTGCAAGATTCATCCGTTGATCCAATGAGAAAAAGGCCATCGAAGTCTATCTCGCTTATCGGCCAGCATCTCTCGCGGCCTGTCACTTTCTCCAAATGTAAATGGAACGTCTAGGGATACTTCGTGAGAATGATCGATTGTTTATTTAATTTGCATGGATCTTTAGTTTCTTGACGCAATACTGAGCAAACAGGATACCATACATTATCAAGTGTTTATAGTTATTATGCTCTGATTATGCTCTACTTATCAGTGCAGCGAGATAATTATTCGCGATAAACTAACATGCGTGATACTCGTATAACAAGGTTCTGAAATTAACTTTTTTACATTCTACTGCGTTTCATTTTAAATTTAAATGATCCTTCGACAAGTATCTTGAAAAATTACTATTTTCGTCTTTTTTGTAATCTTTTGAACATTCTACAGTTGCAAGCATATGAAGATTACTCATGTGTTGTCACCGATAAATGATTTGCAAATAAATCCCGTCATAAATTCCGTCAAAGGCAACTTCTAGCATTCAACAAGGGAGGATTATGTTGTGCAAATCATGGTGTCATTTTTCTCACGAGATATTATGTTGTTTCGCAGTTGCAAGAAGCCTTGCAAGAAAGTTGTTCATAAGAATCCTTTTACATAACTACAATCCGCATAATTTTTCGAAAAATGTGAATGAACTTACGACGTTAATAAATAATTATCTTTATTATATTTAACCATTTTTAAGCAAGTAATCAAATCGCGAATCCACTAGAAACAAATATAAATTTTTAATTTGTTTATTCATTAACCTAAAATATAACATCGTTATAATGAATGGCACTATTTATGCATTATCGTACATTAATTAATAACGAATTAATAATACTTTACATTTCACGAATCTTTCACAATTATCACCGAATAGTACACGATGTAAATTATATAGATAATACATTGTATACTTAAATTGTATATCTCGCGGCAGAGATGCATTATGTAAGACTATCGTGGGTGAGGCGTGAGATTATCCCACGGAGATGATCTTTAATGTATTACGATTGTACGTGAATGGCTCAACTGATTATTACGAAAAAGAAAAAAAAACGATTTTATAATCGATGATATCAACACGTATCTTCTCGGGATAAAAATTATCCAGAAAATTTCAATGCAAGAAATATTTTTAATAATGTCCATCATTATAATATCGAACCTGATTATATAAACATCATATCTATAAAATATAATAAAAAAATAACATGAAAGCACAGAATATTTGATATCCTAATATTACTTGGGATTGGTGGGTTATAATAAAAGTTATGTTACAGTGGAAGCTGCTTTGGGCGGCCGTTCTCGTGGCCGTGCTCACCACGCGTGATGCAGAAGCAAATCGTGAGAGAAGCAAACGTGCGATAGAGTCTAACTCAAATAAGTACCAGAATTTTCTGCCACCTTTGTAAGTGCGATCCAGCATTTTAAAATTTAAATACTTATTAAATTCCATTAATATGATTAGATTTATCCATAAAAATATTATGATTTTCAATCGATCAAATTGTATAATAATAAATAATAACTTTTTATTGCATATATATATATATATATATATATATATAAACTATAATTACATTGACAGAACATCAAGGGGCATAGGAAATCAGCCATTCACGGGATATACTTACTCAACCCCGAAAACAGAATCGGATGGATATATTTATAGAACACCAGATGTTATATTTACAATACCGACTACAACAAAAACGACTTCAACAAAAACGACGGATGGATATGTTTATCCAACTTCGAGTAATAAAATATCGACTACAACGTCATCAAAAAAACCGGACGGATATATTTATATAACCCCAGATATTAGAATACCGACTACGACATCAACAAGGAAGCCGGATATATATACTTATACAACCCCGGGTACTAAAATACCAACTACAACGAAAAAGCCGGACATATATACTTATACAACGACAACACAAAAGCCATATATTTATTCAACCCCGAAAATACAAATATAAAAGGAATTTCTAGCAATTATGCATATTAAATTTATTATTGAATTCAGCGATGCATCTAATATATTAAAACGTGTTTATATACAGGATTGATTTAATTGCTTTAATTAGTGGAAACTATTCGCACTTCATAATTAGAAGCAGTCTCTCATAATAATAAACATTTTTTTAAATATTGCAATTATATTTTATTTCTTAAATACATTTAAAAAATTAATATATAACATATCCTCTGTGTATTTTTTAAAACATATTTTATTAATTTGAAATATATTTGTATTCTAAATATGTATATATAACAAACACACATACAAGTTCTTATATTCTTTACAAGATATAATATTTTAATAAATCAGGACTATGAAGAAACAATTATAACAATTATTAATATTAATTTTTATTTATATAGCTTACAATATTTAACAGTAGATTTCTCTATAACCGGCTCTGTATAATTCCACATGTTATCTCACATCCCTTTCTTTAAACAGCTTTCTATTAATCTTGATACGTGTAGGCACTTGATGTGACAAAGTGCACGTCACGAACAAGAAATCGCAGTGTTGGTTTGACATACAAGCGAACGAAACTAGAGTTTTAGAAGCGTATTTAGCGGGTCAAGCACCGGAACGGTGAGAGATGTTCCCCGCGTGTCGTGCAATGTCTTAGCACTCGAGTCTGACTTCGAAATAAGTAGCCCATAACCACCTACCTTTTACTTACCGTAACAAGCCTCCCCCACGAACAAAGGAAATCTCCACGCTGCTGATGGAATCTAATGAAAACTGCGAGCCGAGAAATGCACGGTCGTTAGTTGCGTGGGAAACACCGAGACAGCAACTCCACTTACGTGCTTCATATATAGACAACCATCAAGCTAAGAGTAAGCCTCTTTTTGTTTGTCAAAATAATTATTACCAAAGAACGCTCATCGATCATTCGCGATCATATTCAATGATAATAACGAGGTGAAACGGATCGACGGATCTCAGCGAGGCTCGTCGAGCATGTCAACGGTAAGCTGGCTTAGTTAAGGATACCCAGTATCGTCAATGTGTAATCGTAAAGGACACCAGTCGCCAGACCTCTCAGAAGGCGATGCTTGAAACCAGCAGGAGATCCGCCATAAGTACGTCCGAGCTAGGGCTCTATTCTGATCGCAGTGATCGATACAACAGGAACCGTTACGGCCTAATCGCGAGGAAATTTGCGATTGGAGTTATGGTAGTGGTAACAGTAATACTGGTGAGTAATCGAGAGAACCGAATTACAAATATCATTAATTAATATTATTTATCTTGTCGTTAAGAAATATTTTAGAGAGAGCGCAAGAAACATAAGAAAGAGCATATAAACTATTAATATTATGCTAATATTATTTATTCATATTTCAAAGTGTGCCATTAATTAATATTATCAAGAATTAAGTTACTTAATTTAGTTTGTACGATAAATCTAATCGCAAATATTCGAGAAAGTAGGGGAAAAAATTAACAAGAATAGAAAACGCATAAATTAGCTTATTATTTTTTAACATTTTTATAATTTTATTGTGATTATTTTTTTCTATTTATAATAAAAATCAAATTAGCGTTATTTTAAATTTCTAATTTATATAATTGTACTAATTTTATTATATAATTATATGTTATACAAGTTTAAATTTTCAGTAGTCAATTCTGTCAATAATTATATATAGGTATATAAACGTCATAATAATCTCACAACGAATAGTTTGAAAGTGACGAGTACTTAGCTAGATATCTTCTTATATATTTTAACAATAGATATTTTTTATTTCTCATAACGTGAACATGGATATGTACTGTACAATCATACTTATCATGACAAATCAATGACAATGATCCTACGCGATGAAGAACTATTGATACCGTGTTATAAATAACTTGCTAAAGTCTCATTAGACTTCCAAAATTAAAAATATAAAATATGAATTTTACTTGAATAAATAATGCAATACCTAACATTATTATCTTTGTGCACGTCTTATGATTAAACATTTTCTTATACATTTTTATGTTCGTACACGAACAATGACCTTGCACGACAAAATGTCCTCAAAATGATGCATCCTGTTTCGCACGATTTCGTTGTAAGCGTCAGAGAGACATGATAATTAAACGGAGTGGAGTTTTTCGTTGGTTTCTTCCACACTCGTCAGAAACAATAGACATAATTACATTTCGCACGTTTTCTCCGGTGATTAATGTCGGAGGCGTGTGTGGAATTGTAATTTCACCGCGAATCTTGGAGTATCCCTTACATGCATGGCGAGCCAAGCGAACAAGAATTTCTGCGTGCTTCGCATATAGAGCGTTAACTATGTTTCGCGTACGGATTAATAGTAGCATCCGCTACTTTGGAAGACGGTTAATTACTATTTATTGCTTCAGAAGCTCGATAAACTACGCTCGCGAATCTATTAATTGTTACTTACAATCTCCCGATTCATCGCTATTTATGCTCCCTCATTTTCCTTGATTAAATCGAAGTAGATATCGTGCTTTCATTAATAAGAGCTGGCATTGTACGGCACTCTCGTTAGAAAGTAGCTCAATGTCAATTCCTGGTTCACTAAAGTATCATAGAAAATTTATAAAATGTTTACTCAATTTTCTCTATAATATTTTTCCAATATTATAAAAAAGTCACAATTTTGATTTTATTAACATATTCTCATTATCTATTATTAAATATTGTATTTAAGAATTTTTTTTTGATAAGTTTTATAATTTGCTATTTATTATCAAGTGTTGTAAATGTTACGTACAAGTAATTCGACTTAAATTATTTTTAATACCACCGTAGGTGGCGATATTTATGTACGATTTTACGTCTGCCACATCGGGACACAGTAAAATCAATCAAGAAACGAAGCATATATATATACTACAAAATGCTCTCAAAAAGTCACCTAATTTTATGAAAAAGTCTGCGAATTCCACGATCCTGTCCGAAGCTATGGTTCGTCAAATGGACACTCTTTATATGGAAGATCGTTCGGATGATGAGAAGTATGATGATTTCATGCAAAGAAATGCAACGAGTGATGTAATGATAGACGAGACTATGGGTGAGCCGGAGATGAGAGCGCAAAATCTGCATAACTTTAAGCACCGGAAGAGAGTGTTGAAGTCTGTTGAAGATGCCAGGGGAAACGAGGAAGCCGAGGCCAAACAATTGTTCGACAACCATGCGATCGTTTATCGAGTGAGACAAAGGTAAACGACACATTATATGATCGACACCTGATTATCTTAAATAGCACATTCGATTTCTCCGATCATTGTTTGTCAAAAGAAACAAATATCAAGAGCCGAAGATATTTCTGATTTAAACGGCGATCGATGAATGATGAAAGCCAATTTAGCGCGATGTTATGACATTTGAAAAATTAACATATCTCGCGCATACGTTCATTGACGTATCTCTTCTTTCATCAATATTATTGAAAATGATAATCTCCGATACGCTATCGACATCCTTTCTCATTGCGAAGAATATTTTCTATACATTAGGTAACATTACGTAATTGCGCGAGATAAATCACTTATTTTAAACTGCATAGTTAATGCATAATTAATAATGCCATTTATATCGCGTTTGTATTTCATCACGTATCATGTGTAAAAGGAACTTAATAGTATCGCGAGATTTTATATAACATCTCAGATAATCTTTTTCGGTTAGAGTGAGATGATGGCTCCTTATCATTTCGCTAGATATAAACATCCAGATTTGGACGAGGACATGAATACGGATGAGACTCAACCGATACCGTTTCACTGGGAATTCAAGACGCCGCATCCGACATCATTCAAACGTCCAAGATATCCGCAGTTGACGCAATACCGATATCCGCATTCGTCCAGGAACATACAGGACATCATCAAGTACCTGACGAACAACGCCGAGATGCCGAATCGCGGCATCAAATTCACCGGCGTATATGTGAATCCGAAAAAATACGATCTGATCCCTGCTATGGGGGAAATGATGTCCAATAACGATAAATCCGAAATTGAAGAGATGCCATCTTATTCGATCAAATCGCAGCACCATAACGACCCATTTTATCAATACAAACCGAAACACCCGGCGGACGTTAATCTCTTAGCCACATCTAACGTGAGGTATTTGTGTTTAAAATTAATATATTATAATATAATACGCAAAGAGAGAGATGGTTAAAATTATTAGAAATTAATCATTAAATCATTTATCTTTTGGCTTATAATATAAAAAAAATTTTGATATATATAATTAAAATATTATATAAATATATAATATTATTATATATTTATTATATAAATTTAATTATAATAGCAGTGTATTGTTGTGTATATTATAAATTATTATATAAAATATCATAAATACATTTTCTAAAAAATGAAAAAATTATTAGATTAATTATTAATTAATATAAAAAGTCAATTTATCGAACTTATATTATAATCGAATGATTCTCTTTTAGATTCTCACCGATCGGAGTACATCGTTACAGCCCTTACTACGATTCTTTATACTCTCGACCTATGTTCAGTTACAACAAACCGATCATGACGGAACCGCAGTACGAAAGTCTCGGTTCCTACTCGACGAACACTTTCGCGAAGAGCCGAAAACCAAAGCCGTTCAGTGTGATGCTCGACATTTATCCCATCACTGATATCATGGAGCAGAATAAGAAGACATCGTGGCCGAGACCGCAAGAATCTACGGATGATTACGATTCTAGGAGACCTCTTCAGTTTAATCGTGTGCCGAAATTTCACGCATCGTCCGCGCAACCGATCCCTCTTATAGCTATACCCAGCCCTACGACTTTATCAGAAGAAGAGGAAAAGCAGCAAATGATATTTCATCTGAATCTGTATCCTCGAAAGAAGAGTAAACTCAACAGGTATAGATTCTTAACGATTTTAATTTTCTTTCCGATTTTCATTTCGCTTGTCAATTGAGTTCGCTTTGAAAAATCGATATTTTTAATTTGTCTCGTGTCAATGATAGTCATAAATTAATAATCGCTTTGTGTATTTTCTATCCTTATATTTAGCGTAGAAAAATTAAAGAGAGAAGATGCACAATTATTGCGAATTTAATTTTTAGACACGATATCATTCATCGATCAGAATTAATGGGAACTCAGGAGCGGCAGCAATTCGCGAAGAAGCTAATGTCTCCCTTGGAATCGATTGCCAAACATTTGACCGATCATTCCGCGATCGAGGAATCGAAGTTCGAGAAAAATCAAAACTCAGAAACGACTAGTACGCCGATAACGCGATACCACGAAATGAATCTGGAGGATTCTAAGCGTGAAAAGAACGGAGAACTTATGTTAAATAACGATTCAGAAATCTATTCAGATCTGGATAACGATGATAGTATTGTTGGGGATACTACCGTACTTTCCAATCATAAATTAAGTCTAGATGAGGATTATGCCAGCACGGAGAAATATGAAATAAACGCACAGAAAATGATAATGAGTACGGAGAAGAATTTTGCGAATTGCGATAATGCAACGGTAATTGACAGCTCGAAGGCCAACGAAGACAAAAGCATCGATCTTTCAAAAGATATCGATACTACCAAAGAATTTTAATGTTTCACGATTTTTTACCTTGGGATTGAATTGAAAGTGTAGCTGAGAATTGAGAAAATTGAGAGTTGAAATGTTTTATCAAATATTCTTTGATACTTTAATGTTCTATTCTGATGTCACAGAAAAAAACGAAAGATATTTTACATTATTCTGTTTCATTTGGATCATAAAAAATATTTTTATATATAATGCAATTGTTCTCGTATCTTATTTGATGAAATATATATTTCTGTATTTTTAATCTTAATTATTTTTATCGGTATTTATTTCAAAACTTTGTGTAAATGTTATATGTTCTATATTATTAATTTAGACAATATTTCACAGACGCCAGAAAGAACAAAAAGTTATAAACTTATAATGAAGCTATTTATATTTACAAGCAAGCACTTATAAGTCAGAATGAACATTTTGACTAGATTCAATAAATAATCGACAAACTTTCATAAATTACAGAAACAAGAATTTATCTCTATTTTATTGAACATTCATGGAGAAAAAAATGATGTCAATGTACTATCACGTAACCGGACAAAAATTTTAATACCATGTTTATAATCCGCTCGAATCCGAACTGCTTCTTTGCCTTGACATTTTCGTTAAAGGCATTCCGAGATCAAATCTCTAATAATTTTTAGCAAGGACGATCGAGAGATATTTGTTGCTTCCAAAAGATTACTTCATAGATTATGCAATCCTGAATATATGATTTATATTTATGAGTACAAAATTGCTAGAACAACTGGAAAACTTTAGTTGTAATACGAAATAATAAAAAAAGATATTTTGCATGAATTACATTATGGCAAATCTTCAAGAAGTTTTAATCGATTTGAGATGATTAATCTGACATATATGTTTATTTTAAAAGATCAATATATTAAGTATGTAATTAAAAGAAAATATGACATATTTATATATTATTTGTCATAATTGTAGATATATATAAGTAGATATGTATTCTTTCATCAAATGTTAAAACGCAGAATCGTAGAAAAAATTAAAATTAAATTATACAAACTTATAAAAATGCATATATTGTCAATTATAAATATGATAAAATGTACAATTTTATTTTATTTTAAATATGATATTATATTACAACAGAGAGAGAACGCTCGCGGTTTTTTAACACCACAAGTATAACGCTTGAGTATGAAATATACAATCTCGCGGGGTTAGTAGTTTTACTTATAATTACTTACAAAAATAATATTGTCACATTTTACAAATCATATACTTTGTTACATGCATCTTGTGTCGCATTCACTTTTTACATTACAAATATAGCACCATCAATTTATTTGCTTGTTCAATAGTTTATTCAACTAGTGGTTTTTAATTGCAAGTTTGTAATTTATATATTGTTTTAACAGTTTTTTATCTTTCAATGCATTTTTCATCGAACACATCATCGTCATCTCGAAAAAGCCACTATGATCATATACACGTTGCATCACGAAAAAGTTTAGGAACCACCACTTTTAAGAAAATTTTTAATCGATTTTTTCTTAGCGACAATTTCACAGACATCTCTTGTTTATTTTAAATATTTTAATAAGAGTATCCGAATTAATATTTCTACAAAAATTCGACAAAGGAAAATTTTGATTATTGAATTAATTATAAAATAATTTTCTATTGCGAGTATTTCGTTTCTTGCATATAAAACTTGATTGTTTAAATAATAAACAATTTACTAACAGCCAATTAAAAAAATGTTTGCCTAAGAAAAAGTCGATGTAATTTAAATCTCTCTGAATCCCTCATGTTCTTGAACCCAGCGTGCTCGGATGATATAGCGTTGTGTCGGCGCCCCATTCATACGGGCCCTCGTGTGGGCCCAGCGTGACCATGGTACCCTGGCCCAAAGTCGTGTGAGACCCAGCACTGACCATGGCAGGCCCGGAAGACACGTAACTGAGAGGCGGTCGCGGCTGATCGCGCAAACGTGCGTGTTTTACTTGCCGCTTATACCTGAAAGAGAAACACGAATTGCGACATTTTTGTTCCGCGACCTCCTTTCTAAACTGCGTTAAAGTGTGTAACAAAAGATAGTGTGTAGGCGACCTTAACGTGTTTACCACCAAGTATATTTCAACCGACGATAAATTATTCTGGAATGTCAGAGAATATTAAGTAATAAAGAAATAAAGATAAATTATTACTTGATATAAAATTTAAGAGAAATGTTATATAGCTTCTCTATGTTATAAATATTACACTGCCAATACATACATATATATAATGATATAAAAAGCCTGATAAGAGTCAGACGCGTAATGAAAGTGCAAATAAAATTTAATAAAATCCTAGTTAATTATAGGCGTTGATTTATTATACGTTTCCACTTCGGACTATCTTCAGTAAATTATTACGAAAGTTTTTTAAAACTTTTGTAATAACTTACTGAAGATGGTCCGAAGTGGATCGAAACGTATAATAAATCAATGCCTATAATTAACTAGGATTTCATTAAATTTTATTTGCGTCTACATTACGCGTCTGCCTCTTATTAGCCTTTTTATCATCGACTTTGACCTATTTAGAGCTTCGTTATTATATTTATTTACATACATATAGCGTTAACATGTTATTGCAATGTTACAGAAAATCAAATTTATCAAAAATCGATAAAATAGCGATAAAAGCAAAATGCGTTATTGTCAAAAAATAAATAAATTTTACGTAGCTTTAGTTTAGAGACTTGCTGTGATTATATATAAATTTTATTATTAATAACTTAAAATTTTTTTATCGTTAACACTTACTTCGAATGCATGCAGCATAACGTGCAGCTTGAGATTATGGTCGCAATTCCGACGAGGACTGCAATTGCCAGGACCCATATCTGCGTCATAGAGGCATCGGCTCGTGCCACTACAGCGGCGCAATGATGTACCTTTTCCACGTGATAAGCCTTGTATACCTTTTTTAATTCTTGATTCTTTGGATCGGTCAGCAACGCCCGCATCTCGTCCAGGTCATAAGACTCCTTGCCGACCATCTGAAAGCATGAGCTGGTCGACGAGAAGTCCAGGGAGTTGTCGTCTTTCGAGTAAAACTGCGTATCGTAGACGTTGACGCTGATAGGTAGCGAAAGAGCTTGCTGGACCGCTCTCTCAAAGTCCTCGAGCGTTTTCCTGACCTCGACCGGCGGCTTCGAGAACACGAACTTCAACATGTCGCGGTCGCGCAGCAAAAAGATTCGCACGGTGATGTTGGTCTCACGTTCTGGCATCACCGAATTGTTGGCTGACACAATCATCTCCATGAAGCCGTCTGCGTATCCCGCCATAGATCCTGTCGTCCTGAGTTCGCCGGTGCGCGCGTTTAAGGATAACTGCGACGGAATCTCTTTCTGCGACATAGCGGGATCGACCAGGGACGTGAAGGAGACCTTGCTCATGTTATAGGTAACGGGCAACGCACCGGAATCAGCGTCATAGGCTTCCAGAGTGATCAGACTCGTGTCGATGGGTACATTCAAGCGAACTCCCAAGGTCACGTTGTCTTTCTTGAAACGCGGCTTATTATCATCGACGTCCAGTACTCTGACAAGAACCTGTCTCTCCGAAGGATCCTGTCTGTTGTATGGTTTCGGCACCACGTCTGACTTCTTGGAAGAGTACTTGAAACATTTAACGGTCAGTAGATGAAACTCAGCGGTTTCTCGATCGAGACGACCGTTCGATTTGATAACGGCGGAGTTATTCTCCAGCCGCTCCACCACGAAGAGTCTCGCCTCGTTCCCATACACGATCTCGTAATCGACCATCCCGTTTTCACCAATGTCTTCGTCGATCGCCTCGATCACGCCAACCTTGGTACCCACCGGCATCTCTTCCGGAACGCTCAACTCGATCGGCGGACTGTCAAGGTTGCGCTTGAAGTGCGGCTTATGATCGTCGATGTCGTTCACGATTACCTGCAGCACCCTGGTCGCTTGCTGCGGTGGCTCGCCGAGATCTTGAGCGACCAGGATCAATGTGTAGCTGTCCTTGGTCTCTCGATCGAGCAGCTTCCGTGTGCTGATCAATCCGGTGTCGCTGTTGATTTTAAAGGCGCTCGCGTCTTTGCCGAAATTGCCGTCTTCCAAGAAGCGGAAGGTGATCCTGCCGTTCGGCAGATTCGGATCGTCGGGATCGGACGCTACCACTTGGAAAACCGGACTGCCGATCGTGGAGTTTTCCGCGATGTAGGCTATCTCTTCTAACGTCGGCCGGATAAACAATGGCACGCCGTCGTTGCTCACTACATCGCCGATATACAGGATGAGATTCACGTCCGAGTACAGAGCCGGATCTCCGCCATCCTGCGCTCGCACTCGCATATTGTACGGTTCGGTTCTTCCTTTGCCTGTCAATGCTCGCGCCGAGTAAATCTCGCCGGTCGTGTGATTTATCTTGAATAGTCCTGGAAACGATCAGCGCAATTCATAATGAATATTTTGAATTATTCCGAAACTGTCTTATCTCTTTTCAAATTATAAAAATCTTGCTTTATATTTTTTTTTTATGTATAAGAGATATTAATATATTGTATTTAATATTTCTTATGCACAGAAAGATTATTTTACAATTAATTTTCTTTTTTATATTGTATGAGTTTCTCGAAAAAAACTATTCAAATAGCTTTATTTCCTAATCATACATATTTTATCTGTTTATATATTTTGGGAATTGTGTTTTTTAAATTAGCATCGCCCGTTTTTTTATTTAATCTTACCATTGGCTTCACCTTCGTCGATAATCTCGAAATAAATCATGCCGCCTTCGCCTTCATCCGGGTCGGTAGCCGTGATGTTCACTACGCTGATTTTTACCGGTGCGTTTTCCGGTATCACCGCGGTGTACGATTCCTGTTCGAAGCTAGGAGCGTTATCATTCACATCGAGAACATCGATTGTTACTAAAGCTCGACTGCTTCGTTGCTCGGCTCCTCCTTGCGGCATGTCCGAAGCCACGACGTAAAAACGCAATACCGATTGTCTTTCTCTGTCGAGGGTCGTGTTCACGGCGATCTATAAATTATTCCTTTTGTTTGTTATTCCGGTAACGCGAAACACAAAAATCATCTAAGAGATATCTAACAAATTAAGGTGCCTTTTAGATATGTTTTAGTTTTTTTAAATCTTAGACGCTAATTTTTAGATTAGAATATTTTTCAATAAATAGAATATCTTTTGAATATTTTCGGATATTGCTCTTTGATATTTTATGTTATAGAATTTAAATTAGATAATTATTAAAGATTTTTACCTGGATATTACCCGTTATGGGATCCATCTCGAAAAGATTAGCATTTTCACCCGTCAAGGAGTATCTGACTTCACCGTATCCTCTTTGAATTTCCTGCTCGGTGTTAGAGCTATCTGAATCCGTCGCTTTTACATTCAGCACGATTTTTGAAGGCTTTGCCGATTCCAATACAGAAATTTTATAATCCTTCTGACTGAAAACTGGATTGTTGTCGTTAGTATCGTGGATCTCGACGATCACGTTGGCCTCCGACATCTTTCGCGTTATATCGTAGTCTCTAGCGAGTGCTCGCACTTTGAAGCGAATAGACTGGAAACAAGATCAAAATTTTAATTTTAATTATTGGTAATTTATTTCAATTTTCAGAATTTTGTATTGCAAAATATTTCTGATTTTTATAGTTTCTCTATTTAGTAAAATAATTAATATTGTCTAAATTATAATATTTCTCACCTTCTGGTTTAATGCTTCGTAATCCAGCCTCTTGCTCAGTACAACATTGCCACTCTGAACGCCAACATTAACGTAACCTTCGTCATCGTCTTCTCTTACCAATTCGAACCTCTGAACCGGATATCCGGTCGCCGGCTCTTTTGCTGATAACATTA